TGGTACAATCGTATCTATCAACCATAGTGCGTTGTCATTTGAACCGTTAATGTGGAGTGGTACAATCGTATCGATCAGCTGTAGTGCGTGGTCATTAGACCCGTTAATGTGGAGTGGTACAATCGTATCGATCAACTGTAGTGCGTGGTCATGAGAATTGTTTTTTCTAAGACAACAAAGCAAAGCGCTGCGATAAACGAGGACATTAGAGGGGAAAAAAATAATTTAAACAAAGTAGTATGACACAGAAAGCCAATAGGACACAGAAAGCCAATAGGACACAGAAAGCAGAACAAAATGGTAGCACACAAAAAGCCATAAAAAAACCAACTAAAATGGAAGGACACAGAAAGACAACAACTAAAATGGTAGGACACAGTAAGCCAAAAACTAAAATGGTAGGACACAGAAAGCCAAACAAAAAATTAAAATGGTAGGGCAAAGATAGCCAAACAAAATGGTAGAACACAAAAAGCCAAACAAACAACTAAAATGGTAGGACATAGAAAGCCAAACAAACAACTAAAATGGTAGGACATAGAAAGCCAAACAAACAACTAAAATGGTAGGACATAGAAAGCCAAACAAACAACTAAAATGGTAGGACATAGAAAGCCAAACAAACAACTAAAATGGTAGGACATAGAAAGCCAAACAAACAACTAAAATGGTAGGACATAGAAAGCCAAACAAACAACTAAAATGGTAGGACACAGAAAGCCAAACAACTAAAATGGTAGGACATAGAAAGCCAAATAACTAAAATGGTAGGACACAGAAAGCCAAACAATTAAAATGGTAGGACATAGAAAGCAAAATAACTAAAATGGTAGGACACAGAAAGCCAAATAACTAAGATGGTAGTACACAGAAAGTCAAAAAAAAAAACTATAATGCTAGGACACAGAAAGCCAAATAACTAAAATGCTAGGACACAGAAGGCCAAATAACTAAAATTCTAGGACACAGAAGGCCAAATAACTAAAATGCTAGGACACAGAAGGCCAAATAACTAAAATGCTAGGACACAGAAAGCCAAATAACTAAAATTCTAGGACACAGAAAGCCAAATAACTAAAATTCTAGGACACATAAGGCCAAATAACTAAAATGCTAGGACATAGAAAGCCAAATAACTAAAATGCTAGGACACAGAAAGTCAAATAACTAAAATTCTAGGACACAGAAAGCCAAATAACTAAAATTCTAGGACACAGAAAGCCAAATAACTAAAATGCTAGGACACAAAAAGTCAAATAACTAAAATGCTAGGACACAGAAAGCCAAATAACTAAAATGCTAGGACACAGAAAGCCAAACAAACAATTAAAATGGTAGGACACAGATAGCCAAACAAAATGCTAGGACACAGAAAGCCAAACAAATGCTAGGACACAGAAATCCAAACAAATTCTAGGACACAGAAAACCAAACAAATGCTAGGACACAGAAAACCAAACAAATGCTAGGACACAGAAAACCAAACAAATGCTAGGACACAGAAAACCAAACAAATTCTAGGACACAGAAAACCAAACAAATTCTCGGACACAGAAAACCAAACAAATGCTAGGACACAGAGAGCCAAACAAATGCTAGGACACAGAAAGCCAAACAAATGCTCGGACACAGAAAGCCAAACAAATGCTAGGACACAGAAAACCAAACAAATGCTAGGACACAGAAAGCCAAACAAATGCTCGGACACAGAAAGCCAAACAAATGCTCGGACACAGAAAACCAAACAAATGCTAGGACACAGAAAACCAAACAAATGCTAGGACACAGAAAGCCAAACAAATGCTCGGACACAGAAAGCCAAACAAATGCTAGGACACAGAAAACCAAACAAATGCTAGGACACAGAAAGCCAAACAAATGCTAGGACACAGAAAGCCAAACAAATGCTCGGACACAGAAAACCAAACAAATACTAGGACACAGAAAGCCAAACAAATGCTAGGACACAGAAAGCCAAACAAATGCTCGGACACAGAAAACCAAACAAATGCTAGGACACAGAAAACCAAACAAATGCTCGGACACAGAAAACCAAACAAATGCTAGGACACAGAAAACCAAACAAATGCTCGGACACAGAAAACCAAACAAATGCTAGGACACAGAAAACCAAACAAATGCTAGGACACAGAAAGCCAAACAAATGCTCGGACACAGAAAGCCAAACAAATGCTCGGACACAGAAAACTAAACAAATGCTAGGACACAGAAAGCCAAACAAATGCTAGGACACAGAAAGCCAAACAAATGCTAGGACACAGAAAAACCAAACAAATGCTAGGACACAGAAAGCCAAACAAATGCTCGGACACAGAAAATCAAACAAATGCTAGGACACAGAAAGCCAAACAAATGCTCGGACACAGAAAACCAAACAAATGCTAGGACACAGAAAGCCAAACAAATGCTCGGACACAGAAAACCAAACAAATGCTAGGACACAGAAAGCCAAACAAATGCTAGGACACAGAAAGCCAAACAAATGCTAGGACACAGAAAACCAAACAAATGCTAGGACACAGAAAACCAAACAAATGCTAGGACACAGAAAGCCAAACAAATGCTCGGACACAGAAAACCAAACAAATGCTAGGACACAGAAAGCCAAACAAATGCTAGGACACAGAAAGCCAAACAAATGCTAGGACAAAGAAAACCAAACAAATGCTCGGACACAGAAAACCAAACAAATGCTAGGACACAGAAAACCAAACAAATGCTAGGACACAGAAAGCCAAACAAATGCTCGGACACAGAAAACCAAACAAATACTAGGACACAGAAAGCCAAACAAATGCTAGGACACAGAAAGCCAAACAAATGCTCGGACACAGAAAACCAAACAAATGCTAGGACACAGAAAGCCAAACAAATGCTCGGACACAGAAAACCAAACAAATGCTAGGACAAAGAAAACCAAACAAATGCTCGGACACAGAAAGCCAAACAAATTCTAGGACACAGAAAACCAAACAAATGCTAGGACACAGAAAGCCAAACAAATTCTCGGACACAGAAAGCCAAACAAATGCCAGGACACAGAAAGCCAAACAAATGCTCGGACACAGAAAGCCAAACAAATGCTCGGACACAGAAAGCCAAACAAATGCTAGGACACAGAAAACCAAACAAATGCTCGGACACAGAAAACCAAACAAATGCTAGGACACAGAAAGCCAAACAAATGCTAGGACACAGAAAGCCAAACAAATGCTAGGACAAAGAAAACCAAACAAATGCTCGGACACAGAAAGCCAAACAAATGCTAGGACACAGAAAACCAAACAAATGCTAGGACACAGAAAGCCAAACAAATGCTCGGACACAGAAAACCAAACAAATGCTAGGACACAGAAAACCAAACAAATGCTAGGACAAAGAAAACCAAACAAATGCTCGGACACAGAAAACCAAACAAATGCTAGGACACAGAAAGCCAAACAAATGCTCGGACACAGAAAACCAAACAAATGCTAGGACAAAGAAAACCAAACAAATGCTAGGACAAAGAAAACCAAACAAATGCTCGGACACAGAAAACTAAACAAATGCTAGGACAAAGAAAACCAAACAAATGCTAGGACAAAGAAAACGAAACAAATGCTAGGACACAGAAAACTAAACAAATGCTAGGACAAAGAAAACCAAACAAATGCTAGGACACAGAAAACCAAACAAATGCTAGGACAAAGAAAACCAAACAAATGCTCGGACACAGAAAACTAAACAAATGCTAGGACAAAGAAAACCAAACAAATGCTAGGACACAGAAAACCAAACAAATGCTAGGACACAGATAACCAAACAAATGCTAGGACACAGAAAGCCAAACAAATGCTCGGACACAGAAAACCAAACAAATGCTAGGACACAGAAAGCCAAACAAATGCTAGGGAAAAGAAAGCCAAACAAATGCTAGGACAAAGAAAACCAAACAAATGCTAGAACACAGAAAGCCAAACAAATGCTCGGACACAGAAAACCAAACAAATGCTAGGACACAGAAAACCAAACAAATGCTAGGACAAAGAAAACCAAACAAATGCTCGGACACAGAAAGCCAAACACCGGTATGTTTGTCACAAGAGCAATATGACTGAATCTATGTAAACACACATATGTTTAGACTTGATTTTAATATCATTGAGGTATGTGTAGATAGATTTAAATAGAGAAGTAAAAGTTATTGATAACAAATCAATTTAACCGCGTTATCAATATGTTATTGCCGTGTCTGTGGAAGGACCTTTGATAACAACTGAGACATTGTTACTGGGTGGACTGCCAGCTCTCATAAATCTTGTTATAATGTTTGTTGACATGCGCAAAGTCTGGTGTCTCGGGACAGTTACTGGATTCCACTGTAACACGATGGGTTACATGGACATCGATGACCTGTGAGACGAGCCAAACAGCAACGTCATCAAGGTATATCGGAAGAATGTTCAAGAACACCTTCATACCAAAGATCAAACGCGAGTATTTGACTAAGCTAAAAATCAAGCGGTGATGTGGTTGGCTGTCTTGTAGGTACGTGGTGTCTGGATAAGCCAAAGACTATATCATCACAATCTTCTCGTGAACACATTCATCTTCTAGTTCCCTTTGTCTAGTCTGGAAAATCCCGGGAATTCCCGTTGACGTCATTCTCGTTGTGTGTCGTTCGCTTTCTCGTGTCCACGTCATCGGCGTGACTTGAGGCCTGTCCAGGGTTCTGCTCCGATCTTACCGAAAAATCCCGGTCATGGGTCCTGTTCACATTCAAAATGTCCTGCTCGTGCGGCAACCTCTGCACTAAAGGACTTCTTTGAGTTTGTTTGAGTTTCCTTTGATGCTGTGGAATTCTCATCGCGGGCAGGCGACGTGACCTGCCGAGATTTCCTACCTCCTGCAGGGTCTGGCTGCTTTTCTCGCAAAGTAAATGCCCATCAAACGATTGGTTCGGCTGAAACGTCCGACTCTGCTGGTCGATGCCGTGCATGAGTTCAGCCATAGTGTCCACCTGGGAGCGGCTCCTCAGATGGCTCCTACCTTCTTCCCCGGGCTGGTCGCCTCGAAGATCGTGATTGATTTTTTTCTTCCCCTTTTTCAGAGGTCTCGGGAATATCCCGGACCACGATTTACGGGTGACGTGGCTGCTGGGACGTGTTTTTGCGGGGTTCTTCGTGACGCTGGTGGTTGACCGACTAGTAGGGCTGCTCTTGAGGGTATCACCTGGCTGTGAGACTACCGGGTCAGCTGGATGTTGTGCGGCTAAGGCAATATGCGATGGTACAGAAACGTAAGTGTGTCGATGATCTAAATGACTGTGCGTTGGTGGCGAGATGTAAGGGATGTATTGATGAATAGTTTCGACTGTCGTCGTTGTCGGCTGTGAAACCAAATGGATGTACTGCTGTCGCCCATCCTGGGGGACTTGTGACGTGTGAGACGCTGCGTTCGACGGCTGTCGCGACGGGTGCCTGACACACGTGTTGGCCGCGTTCAACCAAGTCCGTGACGACCTTTTCCACTGTTCGATTTCAGCCGCGGTGGCCGGAGCCCCCTGGTGGTTGTAGACACAAGTCCACGGTCGGTTGGGAAGCTGGACGCCATAACCTCCGGCTGCCTGGTATTCACCGGGACTGCTGTACGGGCGAACGTCCACCTTCATCGGAGCATTGTTGAATAAGAGGGCAGTGCGCCTCAGGCACCGTGGGTTGGTGGCCATCCAGTTGGTCGCATCAGTACGAGACACGGACCTGGAAAGGTGTAACGTGTTTGGACGGAACTGTTTAAGCGTGTGGTCGTTACGAGGCAATGGGATGTTTTGGTCACCGCCTTCCATTTGAAACAAAGTGTTGGAAGTAACACCCTCTCCCGCCTTCATGCTATGAGAAGTGACATCAGCTGAAACCACTTTGTCCGTGCCAGTCTGCCTCTCACTTGGTAAGCAGGAAAAAGACGGCATTTCTATTGGGAGGATCGATAACACATCCGAGGTGTTATAGTCCCCAGGCGGGTGTGAGTGGTCCTCGTTTTTAGGGCTGTCAGCCGTGACGTCAGAGTGACTGGTGCTGTAGTGTAGGTCATCTGGCAGATACTCACCGACTACACCAAATTCAGAAGCCCTGTTCTGGTGGTCCACCCCTTCACGCTGGTCTGACCGCGGCGATCCAAGAGTGTCGCTCGACAAACTGTCGGGGCTCCCATCTGCTGGAGAGCGCTCTCGCTCCCGTCTATTTGTACAACTGTCGGGGCTCGTTTCAGCTGACATTTTCCTATTGAGCCGGTGATTGGGTTCGCCACCTTCATATTCAACCCAGTCACAGTGGCGCCTTTCTCCAGCCATCCCAACACGCTCAAAGTTAGCATCTCGCTTGATTCTCTTGTTATTGCTGTAATCCAACGCGACGCTAGCGCGGGTCAAGCTCCTTCTCTCCCGCGGCTCTGATTTAGTTGCTGCTTCACCAAATGTCGGAGGCACGGATAGTGTGTCGCGAATGTAAGCGACATTTCTTGCCTCTGTTGGAGTTAAGGCATCGTCCATATGGAACGCATGTTCACTCCTCTGTTCGCTCCTCTGTTCACTCCTCTGTTCGCTCCTCTGTTCATTCCTCTGTTCACTCCTCTGTTCACTCCTCTGTTCACTCCTCTGATCGCTCATCTGTTCATTCCTCTGTTCGCTCCTCTGTTCATTCCTCTGTTCGCTCCTCTGTTCATTCCTCTGATCGCTCATCTGTTCACTCCTCTGTTCATTCCTCTGTTCACTCCTCTGTTCGCTCCTCTGATCGCTCCCCTGTTCACTCCTCTGGTTGGATGTTGAGTTGTGTGAACGATCGCCTCCCTGTGAGAATGAACCATTAGTAGTAGGCTTCTCCCGTTCTAACGGGCTGGCCTCTGACGCCCCGAGGGGAGCTAGGGGATGAGTTTGCGCCTGGGTCGAGTTGTTATTGTTTGGTGCCATGGTGTGGCCCGCTGCTGGGTTCGGCGGATCAAGGGAACCACGATTCGAAGGAGCCGCTGGCCCTACCCCCGCCGGGTGAACGCTATTGGAAAGCGTTCGTACCTTCCCGCACAAGAAGAGCACTACCAGCAGCAGCACCAGCGTGACGCCCGACAGTGATCCAATGATGATCAAGGCGGTTTGACCGAGGCCCAACACCACACTTGGCTCCTCCCTGGAATCAACAGGCGGAGCGAAGAATTATAGGAATACCATTTAGGGCTTAAGGCTTCTTAACGTTTATCTTTACTTCTAAAACTGGACGGCACACTTACATTTTACAAAGCACACGTGATAACAATTTCATTATTGTTAAAATGGATCGCATATCTTGTCTGAAAACTATACGTCTCTTAAATGGCTGACAAGAGTTTTTGAACTCCTCTTTGTTTGTCAGCTCCGCCATTGTGAGACGCCTCTGCACTTTTTGTTTTAAACATTCAACCTCTCTAATGGGTTACAATTAATGACCACCATAAAAATGTTTGAGTTGTACTAAAAATTTTCAACGTGTTTTTGTTTGCGATCACAATTAAAAAATTCTTGAGAAAAACGTCAAACCAAACAAAGTCACTGTACTCCATGTAAACATCAAACCAAACAAAGTCACTGTACTCCATGTAAACATCAAACCAAACAAAGTCACTGTACTCCATGTAAACATCAAACCAAACAAAGTCACTGTACTCCATGTTTTGTAGTTTGGTTTGTTTCAGTGTGTACTCCATGTAAACATCAAACCAAACAAAGTCACTGTACTCCATGTAAACATCAAACCAAACAAAGTCACTGTACTCCATGTAAACATCAAACCAAACAAAATAACTGTACTCCATGTAAACATCAAACCAAACAAAGTCACTGTACTCCATGTAAAATTCAAGCCAAACAAAGTCACTGTACTCCATGTAAACATCAAACCAAACAAATTAACTGTACTCCATGTAAACATCAAACCAAACAAAGTCACTGTACTCCATGTAAACATCAAACCAAACAAAATAACTGTACTCCATGTAAACATCAAACCAAACAAAATAACTGTACTCCATGTAAACATCAAACCAAACAAAGTCACTGTACTCCATGTAAACATCAAACCAAACAAAGTCACTGTACTCCATGTAAACATCAAACCAAACAAATTAACTGTACTCCATGTAAACATCAAACCACACAAAGTCACTGCACTCCATGTAAACATCAAACCACACAAAATCACTGCACTCCATGTAAACACGTAGCTCGTACGTTTTTTTCTCCGGAGTGTCCTGGAGAAGCGCGGAGAAAGCAGACGTGATTTTATCCACCTTCACGTACAACGAGGCCTGGGTGGACCTCGCCGCCTCGCTGATCTCTTTGGCCTGTGGTACGTAGAGAGCATGAGTTCAAATCTAAGGTGAAGCAGTTTTATCTCAAGGAATACATTGGAAGTTTTCAATGCGTCGTGCGTTAAGAGACGGAACATCTCCGCTGGCGATAGCGGCCACCCTCTTAATGGTACGGACCACAGGAGTAGACAGGCGGCCACCCTCTTAATGGTACGGACCACAGGAGTAGACAGGCGGCCACCCTCTTAATGGTACGGACCACAGGAGTAGACAGGCGGTCACCCTCTTAATGGTAAGGACCACAGGAGTAGACAGGCGGCCACCCTCTTAATGGTAAGGACCACGGGAGTAGACAGGCGGCCACCCTCTTAATGGTACGGACCACGGGAGTAGACAGGCGGCCACCCTCTTAATGGTAAGGACCACGGGAGTAGACCCGCGACCACACTCTTAATGGCAAGGACCACGGGAGTAGACAGACGGCCACACTCTTAATGGTACGGACCACAAGAGTAGACCCACGATCACACTCTTAATGGTAAGGACCACGGAAGTAGACCCACGATCACACTCTTAATGGTAAGGACCACAAGTGTAGACCCACGATCACACTCTTAATGGTAAGGACCACAAGAGTAGACCCACGATCACACTCTTAATGGTAAGGACCACGAGAGTAGACCCACGATCACACTCTTAATGGTAAGGACCACGGAAGTAGACCCACGATCACACTCTTAATGGTAAGGACCACAAGAGTAGACCCACGATCACACTCTTAATGGTAAGGACCACAAGAGTAGACCCACGATCACACTCTTAATGGTAAGGACCACGAAAGTAGACCCACGATCACACTCTTAATGGTAAGGACCACAAGAGTAGACCCACGATCACACTCTTTATGGTAAGGACCACAAGAGTAGACCCACGATCACACTCTTAATGGTAAGGACCCACGATCACACTCTTAATGGTAAGGACCACGGAAGTAGACCCACGATCACACTCTTAATGGTAAGGACCACAAGAGTAGACCCACGATCACACTCTTAATGGTAAGGACCACAAGAGTAGACCCACGATCACACTCTTAATGGTAAGTACCACGGAAGTAGACCCACGAACACACTCTTAATGGTAAGGACCACGGAAGTAGACCCGCGATCACACTCTTAATGGTAAGGACCACAAGAGTAGACCTACAATCACACTCTTAATGGTAAGGACCACAAGAGTAGACCTACGATCACACTCTTAATGGTAAGGACCACGGAAGTAGAGCCGCGATCACACTCTTAATGGTACGGACCACAAGAGTAGACCCACGATCACACTCTTAATGGTAAGGACCACAAGAGTAGACCCACGATCACACTCTCCAAGGTAAGGACCACAGGGTAGAATCGGGATGACGGAAAAATCTGGAGATTAAATCGCAAAAAAATTCCGCCAACCGCTGCAATATCGTTTTGCCAAGGTGTGTCCACTGGTTGACGCCCCGTTTGGGGCCACCAGGTGGGAGTTGTGGTGTTTGGGGCCACCAGGTGGAAGTTGTGGTGTTTGGGGCCACCAGGTGGGAGTTGTGGTGTTTGGGGCCACCAGGTGGGAGTTCTGGTGTTTGGGGCCACCAGGTGGGAGTTCTGGTGTTTGGGGCCACCAGGTGGGAGTTCTGGTGTTTGGGGCCACCAGGTGGGAGTTCTGGTGTTTGGGGCCACCAGGTGGGAGTTCTGGTGTTTGGGGCCACCAGGTGGGAGTTCTGGTGTTTGGGGCCACCAGGTGGGAGTTCTGGTGTTTGGGGCCACCAGGTGGGAGTTCTGGTGTTTGGGGCCACCAGGTGGGAGTTCTGGTGTTTGGGGCCACCAGGTGGGAGTTCTGGTGTTTGGGGCCACCAGGTGGGAGTTCTGGTGTTTGGGGCCACCAGGTGGGAGTTCTGGTGTTTGGGGCCACCAGGTGGGAGTTCTGGTGTTTGGGGCCACCAGGTGGGAGTTCTGGTGTTTGGGGCCACCAGGTGTGAGTTCTGGTGTTTGGGGCCACCAGGTGGGAGTTCTGGTGTTTGTGGAAACAGTTGATTGTCCATAAAACAGATCATACGTAGTGTGGCCAAGGGAGATTTCCAGCGAGATTACTGCATCGCCTCTTGGGAGTGGCATTTGGATTTTTCTTTGAAAATATGACGTCAGTAACAGGCATGATGAGATGCTCTATGAGATGGTCTATGAGGTGGTCTAAGAGATGGTCTATAAAATGGACTATCAACGAGCACAGTTATTTTTTTCTATACGAGCTTCACCCACTCCATTCACACCGCAGCTGACCATTTAAGAAGGATTGTGAGTTGCTGCCAGTACCGAGGCACTGGTTGCATGGACGAAACGGCTGCTTAAAAAATCACACTTTAACTAAGTCTGTACTTTCCAGTAGTGGAAACCCTGGCTCACGCCTGTAATCCATTCTCATCGGCTTTACTAAGGATCCCCCATATACTGTACAGCGTGCCTAGATGCATGGAAAACTATCGGGATTTATACCCGTTTAATGTACCCCGGGGGAATGGCCAGGAGGTGCAAGGGAAAGGGGCGGCTGTACCAATCAACTACCCGGCAAATAACGTGCTTTACACGAATCCATCACATCGGTAAATCCAGCCACCCGACATCATTGAACACAGGGAGCACATCAAGCATGGCAGACATCATTCAAACATCAATTACATGCCAAACCAGGTGCTGCGTTAACCATAAAAATACGATCCACACATCCGTCACATGAACCGATTAAATGCTGGATTCACATATCTTTACTTGATCCATAAATCCACGTTATTACCAGGTCAGTGCAACCGTCACACGATCCGATCCATTCATCCACCACATTACTGCATCCAACATATCCCCAGATCTACCTACCCAACCCACCTCTTAACGCCATGCCGTAAAGACAAA